GACTTCTAAGCAGAATAAACCTTTTGTTTAAATGTTATTTGTGCTATGAAGGTGCTTACTAAATTACTTTCTGGATTTCAAGGGAAAACCACTGCCCCAGCTGTATCTTATATCATTTTGTAGTTAGTGGAATGTGAATTAATAGAGATTGCTGAATGTTGAAATGCGAATAATTTCTCCACAATACTTACTTTCTGGTACCCACGACTCACATCGATTTTGTCAACGCGGGCTAGTTTTTCTTGCAGATGCTGTGTCTCCAGAACTATGTCAAAGCTCATTTGGTGAACTTATAGCTTTCTTTCTTATGCCTCCAACATGTATTTTCCTTTACGAGAGATCACCCAATTGTCCCCAGGCTTTGGTGGTATTATCTAAAAATGGCGACTATGTGTTTACTTAGACACAACAAGGATGGACAGCAGGGAGCACACTTGAGTTTAATAATTGCTTCTTTTTGAGGGGAAGAACTAATAATTCTTTTTATTGGTCTGGCAGAGAGCAAGAGAACAAAGCTTTAACAACCTCAAAATTCTGACCCCAAAAAAGTCAGAATTGGACATCATCATATACTCTTTGCCTCTTTATTCGACCATTACTTACTAAATGCCATTACCACAGTTAAAAGTTTGACAGCACTTTTTTCTTCTCTAGTCTGTAGGAAAGTGACGGCATCCACGTTGCCTTCCTATTTTAAGATTTCTGTCATAGACTACAAAACGCAGTCTTGTATATCCTCACTCAGAACACTTAATAGTCTCAGACTGATTGATATTACACCTTCTTTAAATACCAATATTTTAAGGCAGCTTTGACACTTGGCAGGGTTTGATGTCGTTTTTCCCCACTTAGCTAGTAGGAGAAAGCTAGAATTTACTCAGAGTTAAGCTACAGACACAAAGTAAACAGTAATTCATAAAATAATAGGCCATTATATCACACAGAAAAAGAACTCTACTGTGTCTCAACTCCATACTTCTGGTACAAAAATGAAAAATGAATTTCTAGGCTTTACCATTTATCAAAACTAATGAACCCTTTCGCATTTTAGGAGACTTTATAGGCACTTTGGGGGAAAATATTACGTGTGGCTAGAGCAAGCTATATCTGGAGGCCACTCCTCACTCTGGAATAACTTCCAACGTGAACAAACCACAATACACATTTTCCCAAAGATCAGCCAAACACAGGCATCAAGCCAAAGTAGAAATTAAATTGTCAGGCAGCATAATGTCAGCAATTTGCTAGAATATGTTTTGGAAGCACGGGTATATTCCTGAAATAGGAATAATAAATAAAATTCTTGCATATATATATATATATATATATATATATATTTAATCTTTCTTTACCACTCTAGAGGTATGAATTAAGAAAGAGTTGCTAGATGAACTATGACTTATTTTGGGGCCAGACTTTTGCTGTAAAATGTGTGTAAAAATAGTCTTGATGGTCTACTTAGTTTTTAAAAAATTAAGAACAAATGCCAGTGTTTTTGTACATGTATTAAGAAGTATAATTTTTGACATTTGAGGTAGTCTTATGAACGTCCTATAGTTACGTAAAAATCCCACTTGTTATTGTTCACCAACTATTGTTCTCGTATAATTACCTGCATTATGTTTATGAAAATAATCTGGGTTTTGCCCTGGCTGGTGTAGCTCAGTGGATTGAGCGTGGGCCTGTGAACCAGAAGGTCATCGGTTTGATTCCCAGTCAGGGCTCAGGCCTGCATTGTGGGCCAGGTCCCCAGTAGGGGGCGCAAGGCAACCACACATTGATGTTTCTCTCTCTCTTTCTCCTTCTCTAAAAATAAATAAATAACATCTTTTTTTTAAAAAAAGGAAAGGAAATACTTTAAAAAACAATCTGGGTTTTATATCTGGACACGTTTCATGGACAGCATGGAGCCGTAAAAATACTCAGTGAAATCATACTGAATGACAATATTGGAATGCTTAGCCTTCTGCCTCAAGACCCGTTTTCTAACTAAGCTATCATAGGGAAAAACTTTTATAAACATAATTATAATGTTGCTGTTTTTTCTTGCATGATGGCTTCTTTATTTGTTTTCTTTTTTATTGAATAATTGCTGCTCAACGAATCAATCACTGCCACCAGCGCATATGCCTCTCCCAGGCAGGGACTTTGTCTTACAATCGCCACGGAACACCCAGCATGTATCACAATGCCTAATACAGAGAAGTTGCTCAATGGACAGGGGAAGACAAAAGGAATGAAAGAACAGTCGAACAAACTAGGGTCACAGTCTTATCTCCATCATTGATTTCATATGTGCGAAAATTACTTAACCTTTTTAGGCTTCAGTTCCTTCTTCTGCTAAACAAGTATAAATCCTAACCTGATTGCCAATAGGAATAACAGTAAAACGATGGCTTGATAGTGATTTGGAAATAAAACATTGAAAAATCGATACAATCATATCAATATACATTTAACAAATAATTTCCTTTGCAAGAGGTGGAATATTGGGACTTCAGGGACTTCGGGCCAAGATGGAGGCATAGGTAAATATACTTTGCCTCCTGCACAACCAAAAGAAGGACAACAAATTTAAAAACAAAAAATAACCAGAACTGCCAAAAAATCAAATTGTATGGAAGTCCGACAACCAAGGAGTTAAAGCAGAAGCATTCATCCAGACGAGTAGGAGGGCCAGAGATGGGCAGTCAGGGCAGAGAAGACTGGCAGCAAGGCAGTAGCTGCAGGACTCAGTGGTCCCACATTTGTGTGTGGATAAACCGGGAGGAATAACTGGGGAGCGAGACAGGCCACATAACCCAGAGTTCCAGCACAGGGAAATAAAGCCTCAAAACCTCTGACTGAAAAAACCTTTGGGGGTTGTGGCAGTGGGAGAAACTCTGAGCCTCACAGGAGAGTTTTTTGGAGAGACCCACAGGGTCCTAGAATGCACACAAAACCACCCACCAGGGAAGGCCCATCAGCACCAGAAGGGCCCATTTTGCTTGTGGGTAGTGGGGGAAGTCACTGAAAATGGGCAGAGAGTGGAGCAAGTGCCATTGTTCCCTCATGGACCCCTCCCCCACATACAGCATCACAGCGCAGCCAAGTGGGTTGCCCTGCCCTGGCAAATACCTAAGGCTCTGACCTTTACAACGTAACAGGCATGCTGAGATGAAAAAATATGGCCCAAATGAAAGAATAGATCAAAACTGCAGAAAAAATACAACTAAGCAACGAAGAGATAGCTTACCTATCAGATGCACAGTTCAAAACACTGGTAATCGGGATGCTCACAGAAATGGTCGAGTGTGGTCACAAAACAGAGGAAGAAGTGAAGGCTGTGCAAAGTGAAATAAAGGAGAATGCATGGGGAACCAACAGTGATGGGAAGGAAACCGGAACTCAAATCAACAGCTTGGACCAGAAAGAAGAAAGAAACATTCAACCAGAATAGAGTGAACAAACAAGAATTTAAATAAATGAGCAGAGGCTTAGGAACTTCCAGGGCAACTTTAAACACTCCAATATCTAAATCACAAAAGTGCCAGAAGGAAAAGAGGAAGAGCAAGAAATTGAAAACTTATTTGAACAAATAATGAAGGAGAACTTCCCCGATCTGGGAAGGGAAATAGATTTCAGGAAATCCTAGAAGCTCAGTGAGTCCCAAAGAAGTTGGACCCAAAGAAGCACACACCAAGGCACATCATAATTACATTACCCAAGATTAAAGATAAGGAGAGAATCTTAAAAGCAGCAAGAGAAAAGGAGACAGTTACCTACAAAGGAGTCCCCATAAGACCATCAGCTAATTTCTCCAAAGAAACCTTACAGGCAAGGAGGGGCTGAAAGGCAAGGACCTACACAGAAGATTACTCTATCTAGTAAAGCTATCATTTAGAATGGAAGGGCAGATAAAGTACTTCCCAGATGATGTAAATTTAAAGGAGTTCATCATCATCAAGCCCTTATTATATGAAATGTTAAAGGGGCTTATCTAAGAAAAAGAAGATAAGAAATATGAATAGTAAAATGACAACAAAATCACAACTATCAACAACTGAACCTAAAAAAAAGGAACTAAGCAAACAACTAGAACAGGAACAGAATCACAAAAAAGGAGATCACATGGAGGGTTATCCATGGGGAGGGGGTGAGATGAGAATGGGGGAGAAGGAACAGGCATAAATGGTAGGTACAAAATAGACAGGGAGGTGTGGAAAAGTATGGGAAATGGAGAAGGCAAAGAACTTATATGTGTGACCTATGGCCATGAACTAAGGTGGGGGAATGAGGGTGGGAGGGGGATATAGGATGAAAGGGTACAAAGGGATAAAAAAATGGGAGAACTGCAATACTATGATCAATAAAATATATTTTTAAAAAGATGTGGAGTATTGGAAATGCTCATATGTGATACTGGCTACAAGTGTAAAACAGAGTTCAGGCAAAATAATACTCATTGTGTGAAGTGTACTGGCTAATAAAGTGTTATTATATCATTTTATTATTGTTACTAGTATTAGGAAAAAGACTTAGAGCTACCAGGTGAAAAGGTGGTACTGACTATAAAAGTCACAACTCAGGACTCTGTCTTAGGATTTTTTCCATAATTCTGTCCTCCCACTGGTTTATTTATCTTTGTATCAGAAGCTTATTGATGCTTTGGAAAGTTTTATGTATAATTTTGGTTCATTAAGTTCAAATCATCAAAATTATGCTCAGTATTTGATTGATAATAGATTGTAGATAGATAGATGGATGGATAGATAGATCGATAGACAGACATTCTTATCGAGATGGGGTCACATTCAAAATGTTATCAGACTTTAAACAGATTACCAGCCTGAAAGGATCTTTTGAGTCATCCTTATCAGCCTTTTAGGCAAGTAGGTACAGTAAACACGTAGGAAAAAGAAGGAAGTTTTTGGGTCAATGTGGTTCCAAAGGAAGAAGTCTGATGTATTCTAAAGCACTGTCTTAATTACACGTGTTAATTTTGTTCTCCTTCCCTGCAGGTTTAAATGTTTATTTGGCTCCTTGGCTACTGATTACAGAACACAAAATGAATAACTCGACAAACTCCTCTAACAATGGCCTGGCTCTGGCCAGTCCATATAAGACATTTGAAGTGGTGTTTATTGTCCTTGTGGCTGGATCCCTGAGTCTAGTGACCATTATCGGGAACATCCTGGTCATGGTCTCCATCAAAGTCAACCGCCACCTGCAGACCGTCAACAATTACTTTTTGTTCAGCTTGGCCTGTGCCGACCTCATCATTGGTGTTTTCTCCATGAACTTGTATACCCTCTACACTGTGATTGGCTACTGGCCTTTGGGACCTGTGGTGTGCGACCTTTGGCTCGCCCTGGACTACGTGGTCAGCAACGCCTCAGTGATGAACCTGCTCATCATCAGCTTTGACAGGTACTTCTGTGTCACAAAACCGCTCACCTACCCTGTCAAGCGGACCACGAAAATGGCAGGTATGATGATTGCAGCGGCCTGGGTCCTGTCCTTCATCCTCTGGGCTCCGGCCATTCTCTTCTGGCAGTTCATTGTGGGTGTGAGAACGGTGGAGGACGGGGAATGCTACATTCAGTTTTTTTCCAACGCTGCTGTCACCTTTGGCACCGCCATTGCAGCCTTCTACTTGCCAGTGATCATCATGACTGTCCTATACTGGCACATTTCCCGGGCCAGCAAGAGCAGGATCAAGAAGGACAAGAAGGAGCCCGCAGCCAACCAAGACCCGGTGTCTCCAAGTCTGGTCCAAGGGCGGATAGTAAAGCCAAACAACAACAACACACCCGGCAGCAATGACGGCCTGGGACACAACAAGATCCAGAATGGCAAGGCCCTCAGAGATGCTGGGACCGAGAACTGTGTCCAGGGGGAGGAGAAAGAAAGCTCCAACGACTCCACCTCCGTCAGTGCTGTGGCCTCTAATCTGAGAGATGATGAAATAACCCAGGATGAAAACACGGTCTCCACTTCCCTGGGCCATTCCAAAGAGGAGAACTCAAAGCAAACATGCATCAAAATTGTCACCAAGACCCAAAAAGGGGACTCTGGTGCCCCAACCAATACCACGGTGGAGCTCGTTGGTCCTTCGAGTCAGAATGGAGATGAGAAGCAGAACATTGTCGCCCGCAAGATTGTGAAGATGACCAAGCAGCCGGCAAAAAAGAAGCCTCCTCCCTCCCGGGAGAAGAAGGTGACCAGGACGATCTTGGCTATTCTGTTGGCTTTCATCATCACGTGGGCCCCATACAACGTCATGGTGCTTATTAACACCTTCTGTGCACCCTGCATCCCCAACACAGTGTGGACCATTGGCTACTGGCTTTGTTACATCAACAGCACCATTAACCCTGCCTGCTATGCACTTTGCAATGCCACCTTCAAGAAGACCTTCAAACACCTTCTCATGTGCCATTACAAGAACATCGGCGCGACGAGGTAAAACCTCTTTGGGATGAAGGGAGGTGGTCAAGGGGAGACTGGGAAGAAGAAAAGGGATAAAAGAGCTCGTTGCAAAATCTCTGCCATTGCACTTTATAGTCTTATCACGGACGTGCAATTAAGAAGCCCAACAGCGACACTCGTATTGTGCCTGAGCTCCAGTCTGAGAAACTGGCACCTTAGAACCCCTGTCAGGACAGGAGCAGGCGACCAGGAAGGCGACACGTTGGGATTGTGGATTTCAGGAACGGTCTGCATTTTCTCAGTCTCTTGAGAAGGGCTTCTGAATCTACAATCGTATCCATCTCTGCACAAGAAGAAGAACAACCTCACTCCTTTTTGTTGTTGCTCTGTGTTTACGTGAGGAGGAAAGGCCACGGTTGGAAGCTCACACAGAGACTTGAAGAAATAGACTCATAGTACAATGGGGCAGGAAAAAAGAAAAACGGGTGTAGAAACTATCTGCAGAGTGCTAAGCATATATTATTTTTTGTTATGGTTTTACTTGGAGGATTGCAATGTAATAAATGCTTATTTTTTTACCTTACCCTTTTCCCCCTTCGAAAGCAAGTGAACAAACAAAACCCCAACTAGATCACATCATTATTTTTCTCGTTACAAGATTTGCTTTTATATTGTTCTACACTGTGTAAGGACAGATTATAGGGGACTTTCACTACATCCAACCAGAGACAGCCAAGAAAAGGGGCACTTCGCCCCTGCCTATTGCGTGCTTTGCATCCTTGGGGGGTATACAAGCCTATAAAGATGTAGTTTACTTATGCTCCTTAATGGGAAATGGTTTCCCCGATGTTGTTTTCTCCCAGACTACCCTCTCATTTTAATAGACTAATAGACTAGCCTCCCTAATACATAAACACACTTGAGAAGCCAAAGTGATTGTATTAAATTGAGGGTTCATCAAGTTTAGTAATGGTCATTCCACTTGGAGAAAGTTTACTGGGGCCAGACCAATTTGGAGCTGAGAAAATGGAAGGTTGCAAGGGCATTCTGCTTCAACATGAATCTGCCTGACCCACTTATGAAATGCTAACTCGTAAAACATGAACTCCTGGCCTTTGTCAGCAGGAAGAAGATGTTGCTGTTTTCATTTGGAATTCTGAATAGGATTAACATACTCACCTGACCCCAGGGACTTCTGGGTCAGTGTCAAGAGATTAACGCTTTCTCCTCAATGCCTTCTGAAAGCCAATCTTCAATTCATAGTCATGTGAGGCTGTTGATAAGCATCCTATGACCCGATAAAGGGGAAAAAAAAGTAATGCAAAAACATTTACTGAAACCACATGTTCCATATTCCTCCAACTGTCAATTCTCCCTAAAAATTTTTAACTGCAAAATTCTATCAGGAGAAGCATAGTAACCTTTGCAACAGACACGTAGAAGATCACTTTAATAGAGGCCGGGGTGCCCAGAAGAATCTGAGACTAGAATGTAGGTGGTTGCACCTGCGGCACTTCTCACATCTCTCTGGTTCTAGACCATAACAAGGTCGTGTCAGGAGCCAATACCCAAACAGGGGCTTTAAAGAATCCTATTCACGTAGAGACTTTTTATTTCGTACCCCAAATAAATGTAGGATTCTGTCATTCACCTTTAACTAGCTATTTTGATTCCCCTCTTGTTTTACTATAGTTGCTGTCGTCTCCCAATCAGATTTTCTAAAAGGTGAGCCAGTCAATAGAAATAAAAGGTCTAAGAGCCTTTTCAAGTTTCATATTTTGCCTTTGAGACTTAGGAGCGTTATGTTGACCAGTAATGCCTATGTGAGTTGGATGATGAATTTGTCGGTGTTAGACCTTAGCACTTTCGTTATTTTGTGTGACTGGCCTCGTTGGTGGCAGGTCAACAATTTTGAGAGTTCAACAAAAGCACAATGTAAACAGTCAGGAAGGAGCAAATTGCCAACAGTATTTGTACTTAACTTACCTGTTAGAACAATAACTTTCTCTTTGAATAACTTCAGTTGTTTTCCCCGCCAAAATCTCTCTTATATAAACAGATAGCCTCCGTCCAGACAGATTCCTTTACACGACAATTACATCAATGCACACTCCTACATTTTAAACCCATGTTTATTTTTCTTTCTTCAAATCGACAAATAAATTGAGTGGAAGGAACCTCAAAATAATGGAGCGTTTGGTTCCCTATAAACAAAACAATTGATTGGCTGAATCGCTTACCGACTTGTACTATGGTGACGTGGGTTCAGCCTCAGCCAGATGAACTCTTTGGATTCAAGGCTTGTGCATTCCTGATTTGAGTCTCTTCTGCGTAACAATCCCACTCACTTTGAGTCAACCTGCCTATAACTCTCCGTTACCATTGCACCCTTTCTTTTGTTTCTTTTATGTCTGCCCTTTGGCATAGCAACCGCAACCTTACTGAAAGAGAAACCATCAAGGATTAAAGGAAGGAACTGAAGATATGCTGACACATCGTGGAAGCTTTGTCAACCCGAATCGAAAAATGGAAAACGACTGGAAATGGTAGATGATTAGAATGATACGGAGACTGCAGTCGACGGTTTGCATTAACTACTGCTGGATTTGTCTATGTCAGTGGCTCTCAGCTGGGGATGATTTTGCCCCCCGGGGGATGTTTAACAATGTGGGGAGACATTTTTGTCATCATAACCAGTGGGGAGAGCTATTGGCATCTGGTGGATAGAGGCCAGGGATGCTGCTAAAAATGGTGCAATGCACAGGGTACCCACCTGCAGGGTACCCCCGCCAAAATGAGAAATTATTGGCTCAAAATGTCAGTAGTGTTGAAGTTGAGAAACCCTGGTCTACTTCAAGGGATTTTAGAGCTTGCTTTGTATGAGTGAGAAAATAATCTTGTATTGCTATTAGAATATCAATGCAAATTGCTCACCGGTTTGAAAAAGGTAATGCTCGCCAGTCAGGTATGAGACACGCTGTGACCCATCGAGTCTGGTGTGTTTGTGCTTCATAGACTGGGAACACGGGCCACGTCCACACACCCAGAATCACCAGGACAGGCACACTGCACGTTGTTTCCAGCACCTTGCTGTCCAATCACGATTTCCGCAGAGTCTGGTCAATTGAAATTTCAGCCATTGGCCATGAAGATGGTTGCACTGATGTGGTCAGTTTCTATCGGAGCTGGCCTCCGTCCTTTCAAAACCAGGAAGAGCCTCTTTCAGAAACCGTATCATTCATCTCCTTTGTTTCCACTGGAAAGGGGAATGCCTGTCAAGAACTTCTTCTCACAGCAATAATGTAAATAGCACAGAATAGTCTTGAAGAGGAAGCTATTCGAAATGTGCAAAGGCCAGGTCATCCCTTGAAAAAAAAAGAAATGGTTACCCTTTTACCAGTTCACCAGTAATTCAGTGGCCGACCCCAAGTGTGAAGACACTATGTAGCAAGGCATTTTACATTTGGCAAAACGCAGAGAAGGCACAGCACCGTGAATGAACCCTAATGTCAACTACAGATGTCGGGTGAAAAACGATGTGTCAAAGGAGATGCATCCGCTAGAACAAACGTCCCACTTGGAGGTGGGGTCTTGACAGAAGGGGGCAGCTGTGCTTGTGTTGGGGACCAGGGGGTATACGGCAGCTCTCCATACCATTCGCTCCATTTTGCTGTGAACCTAAAACCACTCTGAAAAAATTAAGTCTTTGAAAAAGTAATAACAAAAAGTAAAATCCAAGTAATACAGAAGTCACATGACATGTGTGGCTGCGAAAGCTGGAAGTCCCACCTGCTCCTGCTCTTTGTCCACTCACTGCTTTCTTGACCCTGCAGATCCGACGTGGGGGGAGATGGGAGTTCAAACTGATGACAACATATACATGTAGAGGTGCGATCTACTTTTATTTTCTCCTGCTCAGTTCATTGATAGTTGCCCTTTCCCCAGTTTGATAATATCCCTTCCAACAGCCACAGCACTGGCGTCACAAATAGAGGAAGCACCCAAAGCCGGATGAATTGTGAAAAGTGTATTTTCAGCATGTATATACAATACCATGCCTCTCCAATATGCTTCTCTTAAAAGGGTGCACGCTGCAGCATGAACTGTGTGCATATTTAATGTATCTTCCTGGAATATGCTGTATGCTTACTATACATATTCTATAAATAAAGTAATGAAATGTATAATAGAAATACATATTTCTGTATGCAAATAAATATATTATACACAAAATCTTCATATGCAATATGGTATATGTTGCTTCAGAGTACACAATGAGATTTTACGCGTCCACAAAGAAAAGAGAATCGGTTTTTGCAGGAAGAGGTGTGAGAATGACCAAAATCCTACCCACGTTACCACTAAACTGTTTTATCCTCTTTGAGAACACGGCGTTTGATTTTAAGTATCTCCTGGAAGAACATACTGATAAATCCATGCCGACGTCACCCCACGGGACAACCGAGCTTTTTGCCCCTGCTCTTCTGCCTGGCCTCTGCCTAGCACCTTCCCGGGTGTTCCGCTCCCAACAGCTGTGTTGATCTCACGTCTGATTGCCTGATGAGATTGCGACCGGTTCCTTGGCATTCCGCTTGGCTCGCTCGTCTCCCAATTAACTGATTTTTTGTCAAATAAAAAATAATCATTCTGGAAGGAAAGAATGACCTTCAGAAGGTTTTTCGTTCTGAAAATCAAAGTAAAAATTGTGCCAGCACTGTAGTTTATACGCCGCCCTTTTCAGTTTGGGTCCAATACAGCCCCCCCTATATTAAATATCGGTGACTCTCAGTGTCCTATGAGGTTGCAAGCTTCCCCGAGAAATTGCAAAAGAGATGGGCTGTTTCGGAGTGCCCTGCATTTCCTCCATAGCAATCACCTTTCTGTCTTTGATGCCCACTCAATTGCCCACGTTCCCCAGAACATTTTCTTCAGCCTCTATTAGCCTGACTTCTTAGTGAGCAAATATCGTTACGATATTAGTTGATACTGGGCTTGCAATCCTAAGAGGTGCTTAAGTTTTAACAGAAAAATCATAAACACTGAACATTTGAGAGATTTCTATTACTCTTTAGATACCAATGCATGTAGTGGGAGAGACTTTTTTCCCCAGTAAATTCTAGCTGTTTTTTTCCCAAATTTTGTGACATATTTCAATGTTTATTCATTTCCTAAATTTCTCCTTTCATGCCACAATCCACCCTTGTGAATTGCTGTCCTTTATCTGAACCGAAATCGTTTCTGGGGAAAAAAATGAAGGAAAAAATGGAGTTTTCTATCAATTCTCATTAGTTTCTTATTGTTCCAGTGAGATGTTCTCATTTCATTTTTTAGAATTTGAATTGAATCTTGCGCTGACGAATTGTCAAATGCTATTTCTGACTAGGTGGCTGCAAATAATGGGACAGGAAAACATCTGCCCGTCATAAAGGAAGAATTTTCCACTTTTTAACATGTATCACTCTTTCTCAACCAAAAAAAAAAATGGAAGGAGCAGAATGTGGCAAGTTGTGTAACATAGATATTTATTAAATAGGTGACTTTGGAGAAAATCAGCTCTTTGGCTTCCTAAACACGCACTCATACAGTAAGTCATGAAAAACTGCAAAAACAAACAAAAAAAAGACACCATCTTCTGTATTTGAACAGTATACCCAGTAGTTATCTGAATCCTTAAACTATATCTTTACTGGAATTGTGAACAACTTTGGAGGTTTTTTCACATTAAAAATGACTATCTTATTTTTTATTTTTTGAGATAACTCCATACTGTTTTTCCATGGTGGCTACACCAGTCTGCATTCCCACCAACAATGCACCACAGTTCACTTTTCTCCACATCCTCTCCAGCACTTGTTTCTTGATTTATTGATGGCAGCCATTCTGACAGGTGTGAGGTGATATCTCATTGCGGTTTTAATTGGCATTTTCCCGATGATTAGTGATGTTAAGCATCTTTTTATATGTCTATTGCCCATCCGTATAGCCTCTTTGGAGAAATGTCTATTGAAGTCTTCTGCCATTTTTAATCAATTTATTTTTTTGCTGTTAAGTTGTAGAAGTTCCATATATATTTTGGATATTAACCCCTTATTGGATGTATCTTTGGCAAATGTCTTCTCCCATTCAATTCTGCTGCTATGTATGACCTTTCTATTACCTCCAGCATTTGGAGCTCAGCTAAGTGGTCTTGAAAAAAAAATTCTACTGCATGACAGTGATTATATGGATTCATGGGACGAAAACGTGCCTAGGCTTCACAAATCCATCGTGACACCTAGAAAACATGCCAACAAATACATACCTTCATTATGAATACCCCCAAACCCTATGCAACTCTACAAATGGTTCTTTTAATATCAACATTACCGTTGAGAAAGCCGAAAAGAAATAAGTGAGGATTTCTCAGCACATTCCTTTGAACCCCCTTTCAGACATCCTTTTGAGGTCGATAGCTCTGTATGCCTTACAGATGGTGTGCAAATGTAGGAGTGGTACTTACTCTGAACGTGCAACAAATATTCAAAGGGTCAAAATGTCTGGGGTCTCAAATTAATAAACAAGAAGTCAGGCATGTGTGTCCACTTCTGCAAAACAAATAAGATTAGCAACAATATTGTGTTTGCTTTTCTTGATATTCTCACTATTTTACCTTATTAATAAAAAAAAGTACAAGAGTTCATGTAAGGACTAGATATTAAATGGCTGAATAAAACCATTTTCTCAACCCTATTAGGTGTAACTTAGCTTACTTAAAAAATATAATCTGAGCAACTTTGCACTTACGCAGAAAAATACTATGAAGAATAAAATTAAGAATAAAACAGGAGCAAGAAAAATTTGACATCCTGGGAAGAGAAAATAACAAACAACTTATCTCTAAGCTCTTTCAAAGGAATAACAGTAAATATTTATTAGTACTTCTTTTTTTCCAAGTTCTTTGCATTTTATTTTTGTTATGTTTCCTTTTTAGTATTTTTGTGAGGGTCCTTAACTAATGTTGTTTTAAAAGTAATTTTTATAAACGTTTTGGGAGACAAACATGGCTATTTCATTAAAGCTTGTCACTTTCATTTTAGTTCACGCTGTTACTCCAGGAAGCAAAAACTAAATAAATAAATAAAAATTAACCACTTTTAATGGCACATGTGTTTTAAATATCTAAACAAAATGCCACAGCAAAACTATGGGCAAAGGACAGAATTACAGCTTTAAGTGAAAAAAGAATTCTGTGTAATGATGGTGTCTATATGGAATCATTTCTGAATTGATTTTCAGAGGAAAATCGATTTCCTTTGTGGTCACACAGCTGTTCCCGGGTCCTGGACCCGACCCTCGGTCACCCGGAGAAGAGCTCCGAACACACCGACAGGCTGTTTGAAACCAGGCCCCGTGGAGACGGAAGTGAGCATGAGCAGGGTCCCCAATGGGGAGAGTGTAGTGATTAACTGTCAGGCCCCGTATCGGGAAGTTAGAGCCTGCCAAGCCCTCTGATGAAGAGAGTGTGTGAGAAACTCAATGTTATCACGAGATGGGGAGAACTGGAGGGAAATCAAAGTAGGGAAAGTTTCAGATATGATGAGAAAGGGAACCAAAGCTTATGCTCAGAGTGCACTTACCTACGAGGAAGCAAATACAACAGTATGGCTGCACAGGTGGTGGTTAAATAGTTTATTGTAACTGGCAAATTGGAATGATAAGATTACATTAGCCGTAATTCCCTCAAACCTGTCAGGACAAAGGAACCTGGTATCTTTCCTGTTTCCACCATTTTCTTTTTATTTAAGAGTAAGAAATAGAAAGTTCATTCCAAAGAAACACGTAGTGTAGAGTACTAGCCTTTTTAAAATCCCTTATGAAAAGACCGTTACCTAAATACATTTAAATTTCAAAACACATAGTGAGATTATTTAATAAAGGAAATGCATACACTGGAATAATGGAAAAAGGTATATTCTTAAACAAAACAATTAATGTTCTATGAATCGTATGAGTGTACTTTTTGATAGCATCTTTAAAGATAATCCAATTTATATGTAAACTAGGTTAGATAGATAGATATATAAATGCTATAAATTACATATATTTATACAAGTCTGTATAATTTATATGCACTTTATTTATAAAAGGAATGTGGTAGAAAGTGATTCACAAACACGAGGAATGAGGTAACGTACCAATGGAAAATAGTCCACATACCCAAGGAGTGTTGGCTTAAGTGCTGGTGATGCGTGCGTGCAAAGGCATTCCAACTTCCAAGTTCAGCAGGGAGCAGTGGTGCCAGATCCCCAAAATAGTTGGAAGATGACAGCAATTACACGCCGTGACCTTGGATGTCTTCCTGCCAAGCTGTATTCCTACATGAAGCCTTCGACTAGTCCAAAGTTCAACAGTAAGATTCTTTTCGATATGATGCACCGTGTTTAGAATACATTGCAGGCCTCTTGGCAGTCAGGACTCCTGAGTCCTCGTTAAGAAAGACTGCAACTTCGCACATGTTTCGTATATAACACAGTACTAATTTCAGTGCAAATTAGCGGGAGCTCTGGCTCTACCCTTGAAACGTCGATGTCACTTCCTCTGTCTACCAGGTGAAAACCGCCCCGGGGGACACTCTGTGTCTCCTCTCCTCTCCATGTTTCAGTATTTAAAGTATTGGACAGAGGTAATCCAGATTTGCTCAGGTTCCTAGACGTACTTGGTGGGTGAGGTAAGTAGGAAAGCTCTTCCTGTTTGTGTGTGCTTTCCCCAAATAATGGACTTTAAGATATTGATCTGGAGTTCATGTCCTTATTCCAAACAAGGAGAAGCAAAGCGAAACCCACGCAAACTAATACCAAATGTTCTCCAGTGTACACAGGCCCAGAGGTGCCCTGGCCAGTGAGCTTAGAGACGTGTGTGTCCTTGCCAATGCGATCACGCCAACCCCGCTCTAGAGAGGATTTGTTCAGATGCACTCATTCACTAAGGTTTACAGTAAACTTAGATTCTTTGAATCTCGGAGTTGGTCGAAATAGCATTTGCTGACTCCTCTCATTTTTCCCTGGAATGCTCTCCTCACCCTTTATTACCTGGTTAATTCCCAACAATCCTTTAACTGTCAGGCCATTTCACGAATGTAGCCCTGACTTTTCGGACCACGTCAGATCCTCCAACAAGTTCCCACAGCATTTTTCATGATTATTTATGGCTGTAGGATTATTTCTATCCATCTCTGCCTCTGCCTGTAGACTGTA